TCGTACATATTTCGAAAAAAAATTGAAAAGTGAGCCAAAATTATATCTACATAATGCTGATATAATTCTTTGATGAAAAAGGTAAGCATCTACAGTGTTATAATTACTTATAATATAAACTTTTGAATTGCAACGTAAAAACAAAATCGATTTAGTCAAAAACTGGTTTTGATCACAAATTCCCGTTTTTCCCTGATTTTCTTAAAGGTTAAATTATTTTTGATATAATCAATTTTTTTCGATTGTGCATTTGTGCTAATGGAAGTTTTTAGTGCGAATAATTGTTTTTCAATTGTCGTTGTAGGATCTTATGGCCGTGAAGTGGATAGGTACCTACCAACATTTTTAAATTACTAACTTTTGGAAAAAGTTTTTAAACAAATCTTTAAACTTACCACCTTCTGACTAACCAACTAAATACTAATGGCCTTGCATTTCCCTAGTATGTATTAATTGTAAATAAAGCTTTTAGAATTCATCAGCATTTATTAAGACCATAGGTACTCAAGCAGGGATTTAAATTATTTTAAGTCAATTTTGAACTATAAACTTAGTTGAGTTACCTAGAATAAATGTTTGTACTACTGCGTTGGTTTAGTATAATACCATCTACCTATACCTACCTACTACTAAATAAATTGTTACCTACCAGGAAATATGACATAGCTGGTATCTGTCATATTCATTAAAAGTTATACATTTTTTATTTAATTTTATTGCGGGAAAGTACTTGCCACTTGAGTCATTACTATATATAATATCCAATATTAACCATAATAATAACCAGTAAATACAACTAAGACAACGATAACTTACTTTATCTGGGATGACGTAAAAATGATATGACGATGACGTAGGTAGGTCGTAGGTATAACAATATAATGTAACATTTTAAAATCTTTGATAATGATGATTACCGAAAATACATTAATTAAGAGGACGCCACACCCGCATGTGTTGTCTCCGTCTTACAAATGTACAACATAGCAAAAACTCTTTTGCGAGGGACAGTTTTTCTCGCACCATATTTGTTGTAGAACTACCAAATTTTCACAGCACTTAAAGAAGAACTTTATCTGTGCAACAGCGTGCTCTTTTTTTAATAACATATATACAATACAAGTTATTTGCTTCTAAACATTTGGTTTTTTAATTTGCTTATAAAAAATGATTGGATGGTGCTATTGAAAAAAAGAGCACGCTGTTGCACAGATAAAGTTCTTCTTTAAGTGCTGTGAAAATTTGGTAGTTCTACAACAAATATGGTGCGAGAAAAGTTGTCCCTCGCAAAAGAGTTTTTGCTATGTTGTACATTTATGTTGTACCTCTTAAGTTTTAGTTTAATAAATATTAAATTGTAATTAATTAGTAGGTGGAATTCACAGTTTTTGGTAGATAAATATACCTACGTGTACAGTTTTTTTGGTAGGTAGCATTTTACCGTTTTAGTCGTTGGTAATTGGTATCATATACCTACTACACGAGTACCGAAATGTCGAGGGCAATTTTGGAATACTATGTGGTAAATATCAAATATGAGATATTCTATGAGATTAAGGCCTGATTTTGTTAGTATTATTATTCAAGCAGAGAGTAGAGACGGTGTTGCATAAATGCATAGTTATATGCGACGGAGAACGAGCTTCAAGATAGCTTAAAACTTTAAAACGACGAACGGCATCCAGAAGTTTAGTTAAACCAGGGTCGGACTGGATCTAAAATGCCCACAGTGCATTTTGTTTAAAAGGCCCACAAAATATAAATTATTCAATGTTATTTTCTATTTGCCTAATTTAAATACCTATAGTTAATAATATTTAGTCATTAACTAAGTGTAAATGTACACATTCCCAGTGTATTTATAGCCATGGGATTAGGTATAATACATATTACCTAGGTATATTTATTTTTATTATTATAAGTATAAATATAATGCATCTTGTATATTGATGTATAATTTTTAAAATACAATTTTTTAGTCAATTAAAGTACCAAATTTCGATTTTCTATAACATCTTATGGCGGTTATGAACATAAAAAAAACATTTAATGTTTAAAATTAATAATTGACAATTTTATAGTAACTTAAAAGTTAGTTAATTAAATGTTTGTTGAGTTAATAAAAAAATAAAGTAAAGTAAAACCAAGTTTAATATTATCAATTCAGTATGTTTATCGGTATGTTGTATGTATCGTTTGACTTATACTTTTTAGAAATTTTATTGGAAGATATAGGTCTCAAAGTTATTCATAAATTGTCCATATTATATTAATCACTAAGATTAACGTCTAACGCTAGATAGGAAACAGAATAACTGATAATATTATAAGAGCATGAGCCACAAATAAAAATTTGAATTTGATTCCAAAAAGGTAATTTTCTATACTTAGGAATTTCGAATCAACAGCTTGTATTCTTAATAACAATTTTCCTTTTCCCATAAGGTATAACTACGAAATTATTTTTAAAATTTTACTCATGATTTTAAATGTACCTAATACCTATATTTGATTACAATTTATAAAATATAAGATATAAAGTAGGTACTTATATGCACCTACCACCTACACTTTATATCTATGACTATTATGTAGGTAAACAATTAAAACAACGATTTATTTGTTATAAATTATTATAGCTACAAAAATGTGATTTGATGTTAAATACTTTTATATTATAATATTATTGACAATGTATTGTGATATGTCACTACTCGCCATGGACTTCGCAAGTTCACAGTCTTACACAATATACATTTAAATATAAGTCAATTATAAAACATTTTTACCATTTAGAAAAGGCCAGATACGGTCGAGAGACTACCACGTTCGCACGTCTTCATTAGAGGTCAGTCCGACCCTAAGTTGAACAGCTGGCTATATACCTGCGTATAGTCTGCAGGTATATCTAAATCTGTGATTTTGAATCTATTTTTTCAGCTGTGGTATCCATGAATAAAAATAATTTTTGTATTTATATTAACACATTGATTCGCATTATGACACTAACAATAATTGGAATTTTAAAATTCTCCTCAATTGAAACCTAGTAAACTTGTTAATCAATCATAATCTGTTTTCAAAATATTTAAACAAGGTAGGTAATTTCAAGCAATTTAAGAAATTATAAATTTTCTGACTTTTTTAGTATTTTTGTGTTGATAAAAATCTTTGGGCTCGGTCAGCTAGCTTGACAATTATTTAATACAAGATCCCACATACATTTTTATTATACCTAGCCATTTACTATTTTTTTTTATAATAGTTCAAAACTTAGAAATATTTTCAAAATCACATAGGTAGGTATTATAGTAGGTACTTGAAAATACAAAGTAACCATAATAAGTAATTCTTACTTGAACCAGAAATTCTAAAAAATTATATTGTCAAAATTGTTTATTTCATATTCATATTTAAACAATTAATAATGATTTTTAGTTATTTTTTTGCATTTTTTTAATTCAAAAATATTTGTTTGGGACTTGATATTTTTAGGGTACCTATATTAAGTTATTAACATATTATTATATTTTACTTTACGCAATGACCTTTTCAAAATGTTTAGATTAATATTTAAATGTTAAACCTATTTTTCCATATTACTAAATAATGTCTAATAATCAGTAGTCGAAGTGGCTCAAAATACGTGGAGGGATGTCTTTCATATTTTATACAGTTTTTATATAATATGCAGTATAAATTAAAAATAAACTTGACAGACCGTCGCCGCTCAGAATCGATTTTCATATGCAATGATTCATTATTGAGTTCAAATTTTAACATATCCATTGCAGAAACATAATTTTGACAAGTTTATGAGAGGAATAGATGATACCTATGTTGGCAAAATTAAAAAATGTCCCATTTATTTTAAAAACTATACATCTTTTTATTAGGCATTTCAAATTTTCTTTAGATTATTATTATGGAAAAAAATTTGCTCATCCCTATAAAGTTTTATTTGTGAACATTTTGAATCATTTGTACCTATAATAATTCTAAAACATGTTTAGCATTACCTTTACCTATGTTTGGTATCTTGGTTTATTTAACTAGGCTACTGGCTAGGCATGTAATTCGGTGTTTGGCAAGTTCCTTACAAAAAGGAATTCGTTCCTTTGTCGTTCCTACGGAAAATGAACGAAGTCCTTTTTTAGGTAAAAAAATATTTTTATTTAATCATTATAATGTTGTTTTTCCATATGCATACTTCTTTAGTTTTTAATTATAATATTAATATACAATAAGTACCTAGGTACATATTTTATAATTCTATTTTGAGATTTTTTTCAAAACTAAATTGTTCGCCGACATATTTCGACTGTCTTATCGTTTATTGTTATAAATAATTATATTCTAAATAAGTACCTTCTCATTTCTATATAAATTATAACTATAAGTAATATAAATATTTATAAAGTGACTAATAATGACTAATGAGTAACGATTAATTGATTTATCGATACTCGATAATGATCACTGATTGTCAATATACATTATACACATCAACAAATATATATCTTAACTTCATTTATTTCAATATCAGTGTAAACTATGGGAACTAGAAAGGAAACAGCAATTTTGTTATTTTTCCTTGAAAAAAAGAGCTCGTTCATTTTCTAGTTTTTTTTTTTGATAAAAAGGAATTCGTTCCAGGAACCCGTTCCTTTTGGAACTCGTTCCTTCCAAATACTGGCATAAATGATATGGTAAACAAATTTGTATAAATAAGTTAGTTTTATTAATAAATATATACTGAATAATTTTTAATAGGAACCTACGATAAGATGGGTAAACATCTTAAAAGATATGGAAGAGGTTTTAAAAAATTATGTCATAATATAACGTAAGAGGCACTTAAAGTGTTTTATCTTGAATATGTAGTAGCATTATAAATTGTATACCTACCTACTAAATGGTTGCAGTAATTCATAATAGCATAGTGGATAAGTTATTTATTTTCTCATTAGTTAAGTAAAATATTGCACTTTTTTACAAAAATGTTGAACAACAATCTGTTTAAAAGAAGTAAGTATATAATATGTTTTCCATACCGTTTTTAATTCATCAAAATTAATTGTGTAACATTTATAGAAAGTGTATGGATTTACTGTTCGATAAGTGTACTGTGTGTGCTAGTAATATTTTCCATAGTAAAGGTAATTATTGTTGGTCCAAGTAATTTTATTGATGAATGTTTGGAACTTGTTGGTGGTGCCGATAAACAAACCTGGGTGTTCCTGGTTGCTGGTTCGAAAGGCTGGGATAATTATAGACATCAGGTATAAAAATATTGGTTATAAAAAGACGTAAATGCATTAATATATTATATTTATTATTATTCTCATAATATGAAAAATTATTAAACTAATTGTAGCACTAGTTTTTAGGCTGATGTTTCGCATGCATACCAAACATTGTTGAAGAATGGTATACCAGTTGACCGTATAATTGTAATGATGACAGATGATGTAGCTTTTGACCCCAAGTAAGATATATTTTTAATATTATTTCAAATCAACAAAAATTAACAATTTTATTATGGCCAAAGAATAAAATGTATCTTATTACCTACATTTAAATAATGAATTCTGTTGAAATTACACCTAAATTAATAATTAGAATAATTAGAAACCTTACCTAATTATTTATTATTTGATTAATGACGATAAAAAGATATTTATTAGTAGGTATGGTACTATGGTAGTATGGTACTATGGTAGTATGGTACTAAGCAATACCTATAAAAATAATTACATTTTTCTATGCTCATAACTAAATTATATACCTAGGTATATATTTTAATTGAAGAAAACTAATGATTTATGATTTGTATTGCTGATTTTTTTATTAATTAATTAATTTATAAACAGGTAAAGAGGTAAATTTTCTTTGGTAGGTACAAAAAAATAATAATATTATAATAATTAAGCAGTGTTTAGAACATCCACTAAAAAAATGAATTCGATCAAGTTCACATTCATATTTTTTTTCAAATGAACACGTTCCCGTTCTATGAAAATATGAATGCGTTCATTTAATTTATTTTATTTTTATATATTGTTTAAATACGAAGAAAAAATCGTGGAAATCATAATATTACTGTTGTTTTATGCCCACTGGAATTTCATGTGTTTTATTTTTATAATATGAAATATAGTATATATCATAATAGTATTATCGGTCAATATTTATTAAAAACATATTTTAAATCGTTTGCAATTGTTCCTCATGTAATTTAAGTAAGTACCTACCTAATTTTGTGTAAGAAATAAAAATCTTATTAAATACCTATGTAAACAATTAACTTTTTTGACAAAAATATTTTGATAAAATAATAAAAATATGTGTATAACAAACATCATCAAAATATAGGTAGTTTGCATTAAATGAATTAATTATAATTACTATTATCTATTTTTAAGAACAATAAATAACAATATTTTTTATTGGTTTTGTCTAAAAATAAAATAATAATATGAATGTAAAAAAATATGAAATGTTAACTTAATCTTTAAAATACAGAAATCCATATCGTGGTGAGTTATTTAATCATCCTAATGGTTCAGATGTTTACCAAGGTGTACAAGTTGACTATAAAGGTGAGGTAAGTAAAATAGTACAAAATTAAAAACTATCATAGCCCATAGGTACTCATTTTGAAGACTAATTGTTTGTGTTTCATTTTTATAGGAAGTAAATAGTGAAAATTTCCTGAATGTATTAAATGGAAATAAGGCAGCTATGATAAACCTTGGCTCAGGTCGTGTAATTGAAAGGTAAGATATTTTTGAGTGAGTTATGATCAGTATTCAAATTCTAATAAGATATGCATTTATATTATTTTATAGTAATCATAGAGATAATATTTTTGTCTATTTTGTTGGTCATGGAACATCGGGCATATTAGCATTTCCAGAAAATTACTTATATGCTGATGAACTAAACAATGCATTACAATCACTGTATAGTGATCATAAATTTAATAGTGTAAGATTTTTAAGTTATATCCATATAAAAATAGATTTTTTCAAAAGGGAATGTTTAAGTTTTAATTTTTACAATTTTATTTTTAGATGCTCTTATACATAGAATCATGTAGAGCCGGTTCCTTATTTGATGGCATACTGAGTGAATCTAACAACAGTAGGCATACATATTCAAAAAATTACTGCTCTAATAATTGTAACAATTTAATTATAGTTATCTTTCATCAAATTAGTATTTGCTGTAACTGCAGCTGGACCGAGGGAAAGTTCATGGTCAATATATTGCATTGGTGAAGATGAAGTACCAGATGTTTGCTTGGGTGATGAATTCAGTTGTGCATGGATTGAAGATCAAGCAAATGTAACTTTTATTTTAATACTTAAGACAATCCAATTACATTAATATTTCATGAATTATTTCTATGAAGCTCGGTATATTATATCCATCACATGTGAATGAATTGGTTGAAAAAAGAACTGTTCTCAATCATTTTAATTACATCAGAACTTCAGTTAAATTAAGCAATGTAATGCCGTATGGAGACTTTAGTGTTGGTCAAAACAAATTGTCAGCATATATTGGCAAATCACCGGAAGTATTTTCCAAATATTCTTATCAGAATAGTGATATTCCTTCATTTAATAAACATAATGTAAGTGTTTTATACTTATATAACCAATTTAAATATTATTTTCCTAAATGTATATAGGTACTTTATTTTTTAACAGGGTACAAATATGTTTAGTTCTAAATTTTCCAAAAATACGTATGAGCCATACCAGACAAAGGAACAACATAATGGAAAAAATAATACTACAAAACCAAGCTCCATTTACAATAGTATTGTATGTAGTAATAGCTTATATTAAGGTATCAATCAAAAATACACATTGTTTAATTTTATGTAGATGAGAAAAATTATGGACAGAACATTTAATACAATTCTTCGAAGTGTTATAAAACAATTGCCAGGATTTATTGGACATATTGATGAGCTTAAAGAACTTCCTAGTAATTTGCCATTAAATGTATTTCCATGTTACAGACAAACTTTGGATCACATAACTACAAACTGTTTTTCTTTACCCAAGGTGAAATTACAAATAATTAATTATTTTAAATTCAATCATCTATGTCTAGCTATGAAAGTTTAAATGTTTATTAAATAAATATATCTAGTTAATTATATATTTTTTCAAGCTGGTGGAAAAATCAATTTTCCATCAGTTAATTTAAATTGTAGTTACTTCATAATCGCATAAAATATAAAAATATACTAATATTTGAAAAGAAAACACTGAAAATAGTACCTAATATAGGTAGGTATACAAAAAGTTGTTTCAAAATTCAAGGTTCTATTTTGATTAATAATTTATTACAAGTAAAAATATAATACCCATGACTGTTAAATACAAAACATTTAAAAGTTCTATACAAATTAAATTTATTTAAACTTTCTCAGAAATTATGGCATTTTTGTGCTAAAATAATTGTTTTACCAACTAATATTTTTATATTTATATTGTTTGAAACATATAGAATAAATACTCACTTAATGACGTGCACATATTTTTCAATCTATGTACAAGAGTTATAGACAGCGAATGGAAATCCGAAGAGTTTTATAATGTGTTTGAACAAGTTGTACACAATGTCTGTTCAAAAAATACATCAATGTTTTCAAATTTACTTAAAATGACTGATATTTATTGAAATGTTTTTTGTCAATACTCAATATTAAATCACAATACATTAAGATAGTATAAGTATTAGATTTTGAATTTGAAATATGAATGTATATTGTATAAAGGTACAATTTGAATTATATATTACTATTTAATATTATAATATTGTGTTTCATAAAAGTATTACTTCTTTAATAATTATTCAGCATAAATATTATTAAGAGGACGCTAGATGGCCATTTGTTGTCTTTGTCCTACAAGTGCGTAACATAGCAAATTTATGCTCAGAAGATTACGTTTAGCTGTTAGTTTAAAAATTAGAGTGAATCGTCCTATTATGAAACTTGATGGTAAGTGAATTACCACTGATTATGGTAAACCCTTGATGGTAATTATCTGTGTTTGTATGTGACTTTTTTACAACACTAAAATTTTTTAGTTAGTTATGCTTATTTAATATACTTAGCGTAAATTAAAAATGATCATATCTCACTTAAAAACTGAATTATAATAAAATTCCACATACAAACACAGTTGTTCTTACCATCTTCATAGTAAGTCGATTCACTCTAATTTTTAAACTGAGTTAAACGTGATCTACTGAGCTTACATTTGCTATGTTATGCACTTATAAAACGGAGACAACAAATATCTGTGTAGCGTCCACTTAATAGGTTTCGAGTCATACATATTTTAGTAGTAATTTAACTGATAAATAACCTAGAATAATTACAATAACTTTATTCTTATTGTTGTCATAATAAAATTAGCAGCAATTCAAAGTACCTAATTAAGGTAAACTTGAATTGTTTTATTATTTACTTTTAATCAATTCACGGAAGACTACTTATGAATTGATTAACATTAAACAATATTGAAACATTATATTTACAATTTCTGTCAATATCTTGACATTGTATTCATTTATTTATAAATGTTTATTGTTTGTAATAATTTCATTGAGTTAATTTAAGTACAATTTTTGTAACTCATTAAGTTCTTAGAAAATCAATTAATTTTTTAATAAAAAGATTTAGCTGTATTTTTTTTAAATGTATGGGAGTATTTAAAGAATAATAATTATGATAATTTATAAGAGATAATTTTACAATTAAATAATTAATTAGAATAGAATTTAAAAGATTAAACAAAATTAATAATGTCTATTCATTATAAATTATAGTCGACGACGTTCATACTTGTACTAATGTACTGTCGAGAATCAGAGTAGTAGCTTGTAAATTATAATCGATAAATAGTAAATAATAATATTAGCATTTGACATTCAGTATTCAGCACAATTGTAATTTGTAACAAACGAAGTTCTACACTTATATACTCAACAGTAATACTCATTACTCATCACCACAGATTTGTATACCAGGATGCATATCACATACACGTAGTACAAGGTCTATCGTCTATGTATACAGAATATAGAAAATTAGAAAATAAGAAGTAATTATAATTTAGAAGCCTATATTATTTTCTATGGTATTACTGTCTTGAATTTTCAATATTCATCCAGCTAGCGGCAGGCATTCTGTACTTCTGTATTCACTATACACTGTCACTATTCGGCTAATAGGGCCAGGGCGGGCAGGGCCCAGGGCGATTTAATTTTTCGTGATTCGGGCATATCAATTATTAATATCAATCATGATTATTCAAAATTATACTGATGGTTAACAACCGTACGAGTGGCAACACTGTAAAACACTTATCATCTTCGCTTATATCTCAGTCCGTATCGTCCGTGATTGGGCTTATTATTATTTTACTTTCTTTCGCACACGTCACAATAATTACACAAATCAACAATAACACACACACACACACAAACACACACACACACTTAAACACACAACAGTGGTCCATTCATACTATCTCAATGATTACGGAAACCCGTTCGATTGTAGACCACTAGACGGGAATAAATAACATTATTATTATTATTATGTCTTAGCAAGTTCGATAGCCCGAGATCGAGGTTGTCGGCGGGTAACAAAAAAGAGAAATCTGTCTTTGGGATCTCAGAGCCGTAGCCCAGCGGCGCACCACTGCCGCAGTTGCAACTTGTAAGTTGAGCCGTCGGCTGTCACGGCTTTACGTTTGACGAGGTCGATTACACCGCCGTGATATCGTTTCTTCTTCCATGGTCGGAGCTACACGCCAACAAGGGAATCAACAAACTCCACACCGACTAGCTTGCCGCCCGACCTCCACCACCAAATCATGACCATTTCGGTTCATAACAACGATTAATCGTAACGATGTGATAAACACAGTACACATAATATATATATACACACACATACATACACACATACACTAAAGCGCACACACACAAAACTATGTGATTTCGTAACGTTGTACGTGTACGTGGATTACATATGTATATGTATAAATAAATGTATATATATACATATATATTATAATATAAAATGTGCGTGTGTATGTGTACGCGCGCGCGCGCGTGTGTGTTCATACTTCCATAATCGATTGTAAACTCGAATAATTTGTCTATATATTATTATTATTATTATTGTTGTTGTTGTCGTCGTCGTCGTCGTCGTCGTAGCCTTTGTCGCTGCCGTTGTCGTCGTTGATGTTGAAGATCTAAGCGTTACGCCGCAGTCGTGTCCGCGCCGGCGGACGCGCGACCGCCCGCCCGCCCGCCAAAGTACGGCCGAGTAAAATGGCCCAAGCCCGAACGCGTTGATCGTCGCCGGGCCAAAAACGAGACGAGCGTGGCGCGTCGGACACCGTTGGTGTGTGCGTGTGTTTGCATGTGAGTGTGTTTGTTTGCGCCCAGACCGTCGGGTAGTGGGCACTGGGATTATCCCACTATCCCGGTCCTAATCGCCAACGCGTCCGTGCTTTATCTACGAGCTTAATGACTGGTTGACGAATGACGAATAATAATCTTTCAGAGCATGACATATATCAACAACGCAATCATGTTGATCGAAGAAGAAGTCGCCGGCAACATGTCGAACAAACACAACAGCAAGGTTCAAGATAAAAATATTTGGAAATCTTTGCGGACACACATTTTATCTCGCCGCGAGAAGAACAAACAAGGTACGTTCCTCTGTCGTCAGGAATATTATTTTATTATTTTGCATCTCACTCGGTAGGCAGGGCACAAATAATGTTATTAAACAGGTGGCTTGCGGTCGGGCGCATGCATACCGTGCAATCGGGTGTAGCGATATTATAGGGCTGAGTTTGTAGACGAACGAAAGTGAATGTGAAATGATAAATTCAAATTTATCCTGAACTAAAGCCGGTTGAACTCTTGAACATACCAAGTGATTTTCAAAGTTTGTCAGTTAACCTGTTCTCAAGCTCAACGATATACCTAGGTTTGGCCTTATTTTTTTCTCTTGGTATCGAGAACCGGAGGGGGGACTGCGCTAGCATTATGTCCTCTCAACCTAGGTATGGTCTAAAGTCAGTTGAACTGAAAAATTGATTGTTTTTTAATTTAATAATGCTACATATTAAGTTATCAAAAAAAAAGACATCTTTACTAGGTACATATTATTCATCAAATGTACATAAATCAAAATATGCTGGACGTGAGTTTCAGTATAACTCTCGGGCTTTATCCTTGTAGGTATATATTTCTTAAACTGCTAGTTTTTGCTCGAAATGGAATCATTTACAGATATGTCGTATGTGGTTTAGCATTTATTACTTTATTACTTTTTTCAAGAGGCAGGTAGGTAGGTACTCTTAATATAATCCAAATATTTAACTGAATCGTGTTTTAAATAAATAAAATCTCTTTAATGAATTAGGTATTAATTTTCTAATGAATATTGAATTCTGTAAAAATACTCTGCATCATTTGAGTACTAAAAATTATTGATACGTTGCAACTTATCGATATATAAGACAAATTAACCATATACCAATTGGTGCAAACTCCATAGATGTGATTAAAAAAGTAATTAAAGGGCAGGAGTTCATGAAGAGCTATTAAAAAATTTAGTGTTACAACCTTTAGATAGTAAGTTGTATGTCAATTATCATGATACATATTTTGTTTAACACATTATTTTGATAAAGTGAACTTATGACTAATAGAAGTATTTACATTTTTATAATACATTAATAGGATATTAAAAAATATGATAGGTACTTAACTGTAACTACCTATGTTGACCAGTTTCATCTGTTCGACTGTTCACTTAAAATGTTATGTAGAAAAATTGTAATATTATTAAATTATATTACATTTATTTTTAGTGTTGCTCTCTAATTTTACTAAATTTTCAACTTATCTTTCATTTCTTGAATACCTACCTATTATAATTTATTTTTAATATTTATCTAAATGTTGTTCCTCATTATCTTATTGTTGATCCATATTATGATTATTTTATAATTTATTAAATTTACTTTTTACAAGACAATATAAATAATCATTGGTGATCTAATCTGTACCCACTAATATTCTTGTAACAAAATAAGTTGTTAAAAAAGAAATTCATAGGACTAAGTAGTAATTTTATATTAGGTTTCCTTATTTCATGTAAACCGATTATTGCATAAGTATATGTGCATAATAATATATAGACTTTGATAGTTATATAAATGTAATTCACATAAATCACATGCTCACTTATTTAAGCTGTGAAACACATAACTATAATTCTGTACCAGGTCCCCTCCCCCATCATTGCTTTAAAATTTAATCAAATGTACCTACCTATTAAAACAATTTTTATTTGTTTTGTACTTTTGTTTAATAAAGAAATTTGATTTTCTAAGAGAATATAATGTTTAAAATACCTAGATATATAACAACTCCCTACTCTCTCAAATGTTAGTTTCTATAGTTATTTCATATTGGCCTTAAATAATAAATATTTACATACCTATCCTAACCTATTATATGCGTGATACCTAACATTGATACCTTTATAATATAAGAAAACCATTATGGTTTTTATGTATTTAACTTTAACATAATACAACAAAATACATATTAATTTAGTAAAATTATAATAAAATAGGACTCTAGAAGCAATTTTATATTATATTTCACTCTAGGTATAATACTATATTATATTTTACAGATTTGGTCACAAAAAAAAACATCTGTGGATCTTGTTCTGTTGTATAGTAGGTACTATATTTATACAATATGTGTCAAGTGTACCTCGTTGTTAAATATTTTAAATTTGAATTCAATGATATATCATATTATATTATTTAAATAATGATTCTTAGTGGAAGTGGTCTGCTGATAATATCTTTCGAATAACAACAAAATAACGAATAATTCAATATCAATGGCAGGACTTTGCATAACAATGCCAACAACGGGTTAAGCACCCAAGGCATTTTAGGGAAAGGAAGGCCGCAAGGGGCATTGCCCTTCAAACTCCTCATATATTGATCTTCTTTGTAACCATTACATTCAATATCTCTTTTAAAAAATAATATATACCTATTTAAGATTTAAATCAATATTGAATAGGCATTTCTTAACAAAAAGTTTGAATTAGATACAAACAAACTCAGTTAAAAACTTGTTAAAAACCTTTTTTTTAATTTTATACATTTTAAGTCTTTTAACCCTCTATTAGTAAATTGCCCATTTTTTATTACTTACTTTTTTTTGATATATTCACAAAATCCCATTTACTAAAATCTTATTATTCACGTTTAGATTCTGTATTGATTTTACAATGATGTTTGATTTATTAGTTTTTTTTTTTTTTTGTCTGTACACGATAAGTAGTCGAAATATTTATTTCGATTTTCTTCAACATTATCTTGTTTGATGAGAGAGTGAATACCAGCAGATTTAAAACCGCTGGGAAAAATAAAAAAAATAAAGGAAACACGGGAATTTTTACACAAAGTTGATTTTGGTTTTTGGTTTATTAGTTGGGTCAAAAAGCTTGAAAATTTAATACAAGGATCATAATATACTGTTACAATACCAGAAAAAAAAAATTAAAAATACAGTCACAATTTTTTTATAAGCATTTAAAGTTCGAATTCCGTTAAAAGGTGTAAAAATCAATAAAATGTGCAAATTATTTTGAGTTAGGTATTCCTAAAAAATTTTGTTTTTAGACATAATATTTTGAAATCTAATACCTGATTTCTTATAAAGTTATCTACATTTATAAAAAAAAAAAAAAATGTCTACAAACAAATCAAATTAAATGAGCGTTTGAAGTTCTTATTTTTACAACAGTGGATATTTACTCGATTTCTCAAGTAGCTTGCGATTTTCTTATTTTGTTGTAATTCAAAAAAAAAATAACTCTAGAGACTTGAAATTTATGTCATGTTTATTTTATCGATTCCTATACTTGATAAAATTTTCAAAATATATTGACTGTTTTCGAGCTGTTTACTGACATTTTAAATTGCTTAGTTTTTTTCTCTGTAAATGTCAATAATATTTTATTTTGTTTTTTTTTAATAAGCATTTAAAGTTTAATTTTTGACAACAAATATCAAATTTAAAAATGATTTTGTAGTTAAAAATGTTTTAAATGTTCAACTTTTACAGCTAAGGATTGAAAATTTAAAACAAGGTTCCACGCAAGTTCCACGTAAATAGGTTATTCTGCAACCAAAAATATAAAAACACCCTTTTTTTTATAGTTATTTTATGTTTAAATTTGGATGAAATTACATATTAAATAACCAAGAATAACAATTTTAGTTATTTTTTATAATCTTACAATATTAATTCAACTTACCGGCTACCATATTAATAATATGTAATAACCCCAGTAATAACAATATAAATATAAAACAAAATATCCACACTGACAGACTGTTACCGCTCAGAATCGTTTTTCGTATACAATGATTAGGGTTTCGGGTTTGTAAGCAAAGCTTTTTTTTTTAATAATAAAAATAAAGAAATCATTTTTATATAAAAATGGGTTTCATTTAATATGTAAGATGATGATGTATTTTTTTTTGCCTTTTATTTTTATAAATGATTTTTTCATCTATAAATGCCTTTATTGTGTTTAATTTTAAATTAATCCATTATACAATGCCCTCCTTGTAACCTAATGTACAGCAGAGTGACATCCACTTTTTATTTTTGGGTCATCATCGGTGGGGGCAGTAAAACTGCTTCGATTTTCTTCCACAGCATTTTGTTTGAAGGGAAAATGAATCTTTCACTATCATATATTTTAATTTTCTATGCACCATAAAATTTTGAAAATATTTTTACTCATTTTGAGCTGTTTATGGACATTTTAAATTTTAAATTATTTATTAGGTAGTTAAATATTTATAAAATACTGTACAGCAGAGTGACATCCACTTACCCACCTTTTTAATTTTTGTCTTATACATTTTCTTAATATAGCTTGATAGAATTAGGTACCTGTTTTGAATTTTGAATTCATATTTCACTAATAGTGCACTTTAAAGTGAATTATTTGAGATTTTAAATGTATTTTTTAAGATTTCTCCCCGCTTTAAATTCACAGCCATAAATATAACAAATATTTTTTTTTTTGTTATTTATTAGGTATGTACTGTGTATAGTGAAACTCCTATTTTACTAGTCTTGTGGTCCCTCGTGGGTAACAAATAAAAAAAAAACTGTATTATTTAGAATTTTGTAAAATTAAATTAAATACATTTGGTTCTAATTTGGCTTGGTTCTCAACAATATTTAGTCAAACAGAACATTTTGTTAATTGGAAGTTCTTTATATGGAAGTTTCACTGTAATTTTACTAGAAATATGTACCTAATTACAGACAGTGGACACTTTTTAAGTACTACCTACCCTTGTCTCTTTCTATGTGGATAATTGATAAGTTCCTAGTAGTCTACATGTCCAAGAATTAAATATTATTAAAGATAACACGAGATTCAGGGTGCTAGCATTAAAATTCCGGATGCTGAGCACCCTTAGCACCTATGGAATTTGCGCCAATGTACTGCACTGACATCCTCTATCTATATTCTATAGTAAAAATATGTGTATCAAAGGTTTTACTAAAAATAATATTGGATAGTACCTAATAAACTAATAATATAGTCTAATTTATAATTTATATGAGTATATGTACTGGGATATGTACCTATAACAATATTTAAATGATATAACTCGTTAAATGTTTTCAATAAAAATAAATGAATAGAAATAATGATTATTTAAGTGCAAATACAATGAGTTTATTTATTTATTTTTAAATGAATTATGTTCTGTAGTTAATTGAATAGTGTAGACTATAGAGACTTGATTTTGTTCACCAAATATTTTATGTTTGTATTTTCTAGTCATGATTTTCAAAATATATTGGCTTTTTTGTGCATGTTTTAGCCATTTAAAACTGTCACTTTTTTTTCTGCAATTAATATTGTATGCTACATCAATCCAGTTTGACAGTTTCAAACAAATTCAAACGTTTGTCAAAATTATAAATATTATCACATAATTTTATTGTTACCTATATTTAGATCTTAGAATAATTCAAATTTTGCATAAACATGTTTGCGTTGTTAGATTTAGTTTTTCATTGCTGTCATATAGTGGGTTTATACAGTGTCGTGTTGTAGGATGATAGTATAATGAACCATATAGTTGCAATTGTGACAACTAATATTATGTTACTTATGAGTTATGACCTTATTTTTTATTTTTAATAAATAGTTTAAAATAGCTATATTTGGATATAGGTTAGATTGTTTTCCATCCTTTGTGAGCCTCCCTGGCAGACAAATATCTACCAGCGATAGCTGAAGAAAGTGCCAGGTTGTGGGGGCTAAGGCCGGATGCTATTGATGTATTACCTATGTTTTATGTCAATAAACTATGGAGGTTGGAGGTAATGCTATTGCAGTTCCGCCTCCGACCCTCGATTTAACTCAAAAAAAACTAATATTAAAAAAAAGATTGTTTTAAATCCCCCCCGCCTGACAACATTAGCGGGTGCTGGTCAGTACTTTTACTGCCTAATTATGGAAACATATCCATTTTTATGGATTGATAATAGATAGGTCCTATTTAATATGTATACCTATTAAAAATTATTATAATATTTTACTGATTCATATTTTTGAATAGTTTTGGTATATGAATATACCTAATATAGGTACACATAAGAAGTATGCAAAACATTAAGTTCATTGGATTATATTATTAATTTAACTAATGAATATGAAGTAGGGTCATTGGGCCCCTCCCCCCCCCTATATTACCTATTGTATAAATTTAATACAGATTGTAGATATTCTTGTTTTTTAATAATAATAATAAAAAAAATATGTATATAATATTTTACCAACACTTGCCCTACCTTAAATTGTGTATAATAAAAATGAAATTTTTGTATTAAAAATACTAAATTGAACATAATATTGCCAAAATGATGCATGTAACAAATTAATATGTTGTAATAGTTGTACACATTAAAATTATTTTTAAATAATATTAAATATATTTTAATTAATAGCTGAAGTTGATGCTGAGGTGCTAAGAAAAAAAAAATGTGTAGAATATCAAAAAATGCAAGAAAACAAATTGTCATTAGCACAGATCAATGGCCGTTTATCTCAACTACGAGACAAACGTGATGAACTTGAAGAAGAAAAACGTGCACTCTTGAATCAGTCACAAGCTAATGATGATAGTATGGCAACTTCTTTAGTAGTGCCTAAAACTGAGTCTAATTGGTATGAAATGCTTAACTTTTAATTTTATTGGTGTCTACTAACATATATCTATTTTTATTTGTATTTTTCAGTGAACCTATCAACAATAAGACAGTTGTCACTAACAATATCAATAACGCTGTAGTTACAAATCATCGGTCGACCCCTTTACTTCAACAACAACAACAACATATATTTAGACAACAAACTACAGCAGTAAATGCACAGTCTGGTGCAGGATCTCCTGCTGCAGGTAGCGGATTAAGTCCATTGGCACAACAGTCTTTGATGATGCACAATTCCAGTACCAGTAACACTGGAGGTAGTAACCAAACATTATTGGTTTGTTCGCCAGCCACAATAAATGCTGCAAACAATCAGAACAATAATGTGACTCGTTCTACTATGTCATTAGCAGCTTCTTTATCTAGCACAATGACTTTTACAAAATTTCCGACGCTGTATAGCAGTAGTACCACTCATTTATTAGCGCCGGTAAATTAAAAAAATTAAATTTCATTTAAATATGTTTACAATGTAAGTTTCTTTCTAAACTATTACATTATAATCACTAACAGACTTCTTGGCACACAATTCAAGCATTGTGTTATTGATTGTATTACATAATATTATATTTCCAAACTATTTTTCCTCTCTATTCACTCTACTTACTTTATGGCTGACATTAACTCAATTCACTACAAAATAAATTTTGATAACTACCTACATACTAACTTCCTCTCTAATATTTCACCATTAATATGAAACATTTATAGCTTATACTTCATATCAGTGTAATTTTAATTTATATTTTTTAATTTATTTAGAATGTTGGAACCAGTAACAAAATGGGTAGAACACCATCTCCACAACCCCAAAATATACAGCAGCAAAACTATCAACAGCCACAAATTGTTGTACCTTTCCCTCCATATAAGCCAATGAATAGTGGTGGTAGCTCTACTAATAATTTAAATTCTACTGCTCCAGCTCCTGTAGTAAATAGCATAAATCAGTCATTAGCTACTGGAACCAATAGCAATTATCCTAGTAAGTTTTTAGGACAAGAGAGACTTTCTTGTACAAATATATAATATTTAGGATTTTATTTGTGATAGTATGTGATGAAATAGTTGTTCTATATTCTTTACTATTGAAAGAAAAACAAAAAAAAATTGTGATGCTCCGAGCTTAATTTGTTTGGTATACTTTAATTTAGTTGAAAATTCAAGTAGACGTGGAAATAGAGAAGATGCTACACAGTCATTTAATAGAAATGTTTGGATTAACAACAACTGCAACAATAGCAACAGTAAGCAAATATGACATATTATATTTATTTTCATATTGTAAGTTTCTTATTTTAGTTATGCAATTTTTTTTCTTTAAGTAATATCATTGAGTACTCAATGGTAATGTTCATTTAGTTTAGGTATATTTTATACGCAATTTAATATTAATTGGTACTATTCAATATTTTTTTTTTTTTTTTACTTGTTTTTGGGCTGGGTACATTTTTTGTTTCTGACTGATTTTTTTTAAGGTTTTTATTGTTATGGTTATTAATTAAGAGGATGTCGGCACACTATTTGTTTTCTCACTCTGTCTCACGTGCAACACACACAAAATGCATTTACGCAAAATCATTTCAAAAACGATAGAGATTAATATTTTTGAGGGTATGACATATCGATTTGTTTAAATATTGTCTCAAAACAATTTAAACATCATTTAAATGTACAACGTTTTTTTGTTTATTTTGAAAGTCAAATAACAATAAAATATAATATTGATGTCAGTCTCCTAAAATATTATTGTCTATATTTTTTGTAATTGATCATTTTACTCTAAGGTTACTTAAAAACATAGAAAAAATGATTCAGAGTAAATGTGTTTAAGTTTTGTCTATGTTGCACATGGGCTAGGGAGAGAAAACAAATGATGCACTGACATCATCTCAACAAAAACATTATTTTATGAATCATAGATTTTCCTTGTTGAGGGAAAAATTTTAGTAAGGTGGTATGGTTAAAATTATGATAAAATTACATTTTGGTAATTTTAGTAGAGTTGAAATTTGAATGTACCTATGTTAATTGCATTTATTTTCTTACTGTATTTAAATATTAAGTACTTACCTATAATAATCTTTTGTTTTTAGAAAACTCACAACCTAATGTCAGCAACTATGGATCATTCTACCAACCTAATTCTACTTCTGCAGTTAATTACTGTGTCAATAATGGCATTTTATCTTCAGCCCCATCATTATCTTCAGTAAATACAGTATATAGTTATTCTGGGCCACCACCGCCACCACCTCCACCGCCACCACGAACAGAATCATCTAATAGTGTTAATTTAAGTGTGAGTACAGCTGGTGATCATGGAGCTCAGCAAATACCAAAGCCTCTTTCTTCTCATCAACACCACCAACCTCATCACCATGCTCACTCCCATCCACCTATGTACATGAGCCCAGGCATTCGAAACCAAACTAGTAATCACACATGTATGTTTTTTGTGAATATATATTTGTTTAAGTAAAAGTGTTCTAATGGGTGTTTTGTTTTCATCAGATCACCCTAAACCACCTCATGGTGTCTACCCGGATGATAAGTTGGTACCTCCACCGCCATCTAATTTTTATCAACAGCAAGGCAATAGAAATATGCATCTGTCAAATACTACAACAGTTACGTCACAACCCCATCAGATGGTATGTAATTTTTGAATTAGTTCACTGAGAAATAGAATGCAAATATTCTGATTCTTATTACTGTTTGTTAAGCAGAATCAAAAATCGCACAATATTGGTTATCCTATGCGACATCCCACAGCTGCATCTCCAGCTTCCCAACTCTCTCCAGCAATTATTCAGTCGTCTCAACAACACGTGAGTTAATCAATATATTTTATTTTTTACAAATTATACTATCTATTTTTTTTTTTTTAATACAGGCCTCATATACTGTTCCGACAAGTTCAGTCACAGGGTATTCAAATAAACCGCCTGCCACTGTTGTTTCAACTGCCGATATGTCTAGATATCAACAACAACCACCGCCACAAACGCCAATGTCTAGACATGAATAATATTTGTATCATTAATAAATGTTGATAGTTAATGAAAGTACCTAGATTAAATGGAATTTAATGTACTTTAATGTATAGCTTAGTTTTAATAATCTTTTGAACACTGAGTATGAAAAATACTGTGGTGTTTGTTATACATTACCTATTATTACAATTATATATATATTTTTTTGTACTTTGTAAATTTAATTACACATACTTTTTAAGTTGTTTTATATACGCGGGGGTATTCAATTATAATATTGATATTTGTATGTATAAAAATGATTTTTAAATAATTCTTGATATAGTTTAAATATTTTAATTGTATAACTGATTAAATTATTTAATAAACTGATTGTTTAATTTGGTTACATAACACATATTTTTATTAGTACTTGGAATATAATCATTCAAAACATTCTTCTCACCAATCAAATTTTACTCAATTATAAACGTACCACTAATAAAATACAGAAATTGAAGGTGAAGAAAGAGATTAAAAATCAAATTAAACATTGGAATTTAAAAAAAATACATTATACATACAATGCAGTACATACTATAGTAATTTACATTGTATATTGGAGTTACGTATAACAAAATGCAATAAATCAAAATACGCAAGATCTATCAAATAAATCAATTGAAAATTCTTGATTTTCAAATGTTATAAAACATTATATAAATTGTATTTTTCAAAAATTAACATCATATATTAATAGTAAACATTACTGTTTTAGATAAATAACAAAGTTCAATGCGATGGTTTCTCAAACTTAATCTGCATGTAATTTGAGTTTCCCGGTTCTTTCACAAAACCCATTGAGTTATACCAATTAACATTACTATCTTTACACTCCAATGAAATCTTGTAACAATTTAGGACGCGTGACAGTGCAATCAGACGTTGAACAACACTGTAAGCATTTGATAAAAGTTAGTTATTAGTGTTTAAAAATTTTGACATGGTATAATATATTATAAAGACTGATGTGAAATAATTTTAATATTTGCTAAACTTTGAGAGAACATTAACGTATCCCGACCAAAACTTGTCCAAATCCGCCTATCTCCCACTCAACAACAATGATTTGTTAATGTTCGGTACATTCGGCCACACTACGCTATAATTTATTTATGTATATTATACAACCTATACAAAAAGGAGAAAATTGTGCCACCGACCAGTCGGTATGTGTAAAAAGGTAATGTTCTATCCTGGTGTATAATATAAGAGGCGATGAGCGCAAAAGTGGCCTACACCACAAAAATTAAAAATTGAAGTAACTGTACCAAGTTGTTCAAAATCGTGTAATTAATATTAAAGCAAATACCTACATTGTTATTTTAAAATTGTATATAAAGTTGATTAAAAGAGTTTAGTTGACATAACATGGTTGATTCTTTTATACAAATTTGACCTAAACTACATTTTATAATTATGAAGAAGTGGTTTTAAGAGAAATGCAAAAGTGACCTATCCAACATTAACTTGGGGAATTTTGACTTTTTTTTTTGTTTCAAAACGCTGATGTAATCTACAGTGGATTTCAACAAGAACCCTAAGCCCCACCAAAAAAAAAAAAATTAAAATGGTTCTCAGTGACATAAAATTAGTAAAATCATTAAATTTAATATACTCGGAATGATGGTTGAGTCAAATAGGCCACTTTTGTGCTATACACAATATTCAATTTTTAAAGCTGACATTAATTAAATAATTGGATGGCAAGTTGGAAAATATGATATCTAGGTACTACATGTATAGGTATGTGACAACGGGATTGGTGTTTAAGTATAGTAAAATCCTGAAATCATACGTGGAAGTGTGTTATCTATTTATTTTTTTATTTTTCAAATGTCTTAAGTATAAATTAATATTGAATAGATATGTCAGGTTTTTTCAAGATCCAATCCAACTACACTGTTCAAATATATTTAATCTTAATCATACCCAACACTTCTAGTTTTATTTTAATGCGTATAAAAGTGCTCGTTGTTTCAAATATTTATCAGATGAAAAAATCATTAAAATTACTTACATTTTTCCAAACCGTTGTCCTCTGCAGTTAGAGTTGACAACAATGTCTTCAATTCTACCGCGCTGCAATTCAAATGCATAGATTAATAACGTATCTCGTAGGTATGTGTAAAAGGCTGCAATTATGTCTAACTTGTCCACAGAGGTGTATGAATTTTTTTTCAATAGTCAGGGAACCGGACGCCACTATGCAGTTTTCCTCAGTATCCTCGACAACGATTATGTAATATGTACCGCTGTTTTTCTTCATCACTTCAAAAGTGTCTAAAAAAATGATGACATGTGTTGAAAGCGGTCGAAAAGACACTTGGTACAAATAAATAAATAATAATTAACAATCCCACTGACTCGAATACATCTGCTGGGTGACGCTTCCCGTCACGGTCAGTTGAGCCAACAGGTCCACGTATCCTGCGACAGAATAAAATAAAAATTGAGTATGCTTAAAAAGGGGAACGCGCCCGACCAGAAGACACTCGTTGCGTACCACGGCCGAAATCCGTCGAGCACAGGGGCCTCAGTCGGTATTTGCAGCTACCGTCGTCAACCGACAGTTGGTCGGGTCGAGTCGTGTCGTCGGCGGCGGTGGCGGCGGCCAGCGTTCGCGGATCGAACAGGTAGTCGACGGCCATCATATGAGCAATAGAACTGCAGCCGAAAGTCCGTGAAGAAGGGCGAAACGGCGGCCTCGGCTACACGTGTTTGTCGCGGAACGAAAACGTATTGCGTTCAGACCCGATCAGCGGCAACGGTCGTTCGTCCCGGCGCGGCGTTGAAGGAGATCGATGGCGACGGTCAGTCGACGACAAAACGTGCGCGAGAGACGGCCGCTTTACCTCCACGCCACCACTACCGGCACTACTTGGACGGGAAATCGCGCATTCCTCGATACGCGGCCTCATATCGGTACGTTTCATTATTACTATATATGTTTCGCGTCTTGGCGGCCGTATTTGGCTTTCACCGCTAACAGGTTATCAGTTATCACGAGCATAATATTGTAGAACATAATGATAATCAATAATAATAATAATAATAATTATGTTCTATATTATAACAACTGTGACCGTGCAGGTCTGCAGCAGCAGCAGCGCTTGTCTGTGTACGAACCTATGGTGGGCGGTGCGGTGCGGTGTGTTCGGAAACGCTTACGACGTCTAGCCACTCTAGCCCTCGAGTCTCGGTGATACGTCGTCGTCGTTATTGGAGCGTGCGTGCGCGCTTGCACGACAACGACGGCTCAAGGCCTCGCGGCGACGATTATTTTGGATTATGATTCATGGAGTATGCAGTAATGCCGTATAATATAGTGTATACTGTATGTCTATACAGTTGACAGTAGGTATGGTTGTCACTACTCACTTGTCAGTAACTCACTTGTGACTTGTATCCGAGTTGTATGTGGTCACTAATTTGAATAAATTAATATTATATATTTATATCTGTCGGATTAATGGCTATTACACACACACACACTTGTTGATAGTTTGAAACAAAAATGTACGAATTATAGTTCATACCTATAGAGTATAGGCTATAAGTAGAGGCGTAGAATGGGGGGGTCTAAGGGGGATATATCCCCCCTGGAATTTGGTTCAGCCCCCCCATTCCGTATATTTTTTTAGTTATATTTTCAGAATATATGTACCTATTGTACCAGATTACCAGAAATAAAATAGGCTTAGCTCCCCTATATAAATTCATTACTCTACGCCTTGGCTATAAGCAAGGTTGGGCAAGTTAAGAGGATGTCAGCACACTATTTGTTTTCTCAATCTGACCCACACGCAACATAGACAAAACGAATTTACGTAGAAACATTTTTTCTATGTTTTTAAGTAATCTTAGAGTAAAATCACCCATTACAAAAAGATAGAGAATAATATTTTTGAGGGAATGTCATATCGATTTTATATTTTATTATTATTTGACTTTGTATTCTACTTTCAAAATAAACAAAAAAATGTTGTACATTAAAATGATGTTTAAATTGTTTTGAGACAATATTTAGACAAATCGATATGACATTCCCTCAAAAATATTATTCTCTATCTTTTTTGTAATGGGTGATTTTACTCTAAGATTACTTAAAAACATAGAAAAAATGTTTCTACGTAAATTCGTTTTGTCTATGTTGTGTGTGGGTCAGAGTGAGAAAACAAATAGTGCGCTGACATCCAAAAGGATGTTACACCCGCATGTGTTGTCTCCGTTTTACAAATGTAAAACATAGCAAAATCTGTTTTAAGCGGGACAACTTTTCTAGCACCATATTTGTTATAGAACTACCAAATTTTCACAACACCCAAAGAAGAACTTTATCTGTGCAACAGCGTGCTCTTTTTTTTTATAGCACTATCCAATCATTTGTTATAACTTATAAGCAATTTAAAAAAACAAAATGTTTGGAAGCAAATCACCTTTTTTTGTATTTATGTTATCTAAAATGTGGGCAAGCTGTTGCATAGATAATTTTCCACCCTATATGTACAGAAATTTTGGAGCCACTGCTACAAACACAGAAAGATAAAAGTTGCCCCGTGCAAAACTGTTTTTGGTATGTTGTAAATGTGTGAGACAGAGACAACACATGCGGGTGTGATATCCTCTTAATTTAAAATAATTAACTGTGAAAAGTTAAGTTAATTTAATTGAATTGCCTTCAGATAAAAGTTAATATTAGCAAAGAAAAAATTTAACTCTATAAGTTTAATGTTAAGATGGAAAATTAACTTAACTCGGTTAAAAAAAGTTAATTTTTTTCAATCTACAATATTTTTAAGTCATAAAGTTAGTATCTAGTATTTTGATTTACACAAACATTTATCAAGATGTTTAACACTGTACAAACATTAGATTATTATGATATATTATTAAAAATTAAATGACCAAAATCGAAAAATAGTCAAGAAATCAGTATTATCTGTTGGCTTCGCCTGATACGAAAAGAAAATCAACTTAACTGCACTATAATGTTAATTAAGAGGATCTCCACCACAAGGAAACAAAAAAAAGTTACCAATGTGGCAATGTACTACAGCAAGTGTACAGTCGTACAGAGTACAGACGGACAAACTTCAGACAGACTCAGAGAATACTACAACGGACAAAACTATTTGTTACCCCTCGTGACATCAAATATGACTTGGTTAACGGCGGCATAATGTCATGTCATAAATGGAAAATTATAACAGGTAATTTACCTACCACTGCACACCGTGCCACCGTGGTATAAATGTATAATAATAATAATAAATATTAAGCATACAAAGACGTATCGTAAGCGTCACGAGGTATCGAGGATACTATATTATAAAAATAACTATAACTAAATAGCAAATTATTATATGATCATTAATACACTATGTTTAAAATATGATATTATATATTATAATTTTAATAAAGTATTAAAGTGTCGTTAACATACTTCATACCACGACACAGATATCGATATCTTCAGACTATGGTATAGGTATCCCAGACAGCATTTTGTAACGATAATATTATTCGTTATTACAATGTTATAATAATATTTCTAAACAAAAAATCGCTGTCTGGGATTATAATAATTAATAATTAATATGAACATATAATACTATTTACAAGTCTATTTTTATTAAACTGATTACCTTCTCGTATCAGTTATATTTTATGCAATTATTATAATATTAGAATAATCTTAAATACTTAAATAGTTATAAAATAATGTGCAGACAAAATGAAACTATGAAACATTCAATTTTTTTGTTATCGAACAATAGATACCAACCGATAAAATGTACTTAGTACTTTCAATAATGAGATTACTGTCAGAATAACGACACAGCGAAATCATTATTTTTGAAATTAAGATTGTCATATTATATATTTATCATGAATATACGTAACACGTAAATACTTTTATATAGGTAATATTATGTATTATATTGAATATTGGTTCTTCAATATCATAATGCGTATGATTAATATAATACTTTTTAATGACACTTGGAAAAACAACTTCGAAATATTAGGTACCCGCAACCCGCTACTACCTACCTACTTTATATTTTTTCAATTCGTCCATTATGAAAATAATTAGTACTTTAATATTTATAATTTATATATTATATAATATTAAATATAGGTATACATTTTATTTGTTATTACCTATATATTATTGGCTTCGGCATCTTATTTGGTTATTAGTCTGGTGTACGAATACAAAAAAAAAAAAAAATTACAAGTATATTATTATAATATATATTATATACTGCAGGCACGAAAATCGGAATTATGTATTGTAGCAATAACACATGTAATAATTGCGTTATACCAATTTGCAGCTGTCTGCCGTGGCCGTTCGGATCGGATTGGACTACGCCGCAGTATTATACATAATTTTAATTAGACATATATTATATTATTAAATATTAGGGCAATAACATGACCTGATCGACGGCATTCCGGTAGGTATATAAATGGAAGTGTAACATTGACTGGCGTTCATGCTCATACGCTTTGTCGATATGAATGTTATAACATTGTGTGCATAATATATGTGTGACCTATTTAACTGGCAGGATTACTGGTTTGTCTGAACCAATTTGTGTATTTTTTAAAAAACAAAAATGTTTTCATATATAATATATTATAACACTGTATTTTTATATTCTTTATAAAAAATATCATACAAATCACAGTCTTATTACCATTAGGTATAACCGTGTTTGAATAATTTGATATTAACATAAAAACTGTATTTGTGACAACGAAAATTGATTTATAAAAATTAATAATAATAAAATATTATATAATTATAAATTATAATAGAGGTATACGACCTTATGAATCACTCCGTATAATATAGTCTAAGGCACAAGTGCTCAACCGAGTATGTAAGTATAATTATCATTCATGTATATAGCCATATAGGTACATATCTATATAAAATAAGCAATAAATACAAAATCAGTCGTCTCGTCGCCAAAACTGAACCTTATCGGTATATTATGTATTTATGTAAATTGTTTAGTAAACTACTACCTAATGGTTACTGCATGAGAACGCGGTTTACCTACACGGTTAAGTACTTATTACCATCACGACCGCTGCGTTCGATATATTTTGCATTGCCATTTTTACAATTTATTTTAAATATTATACATATTATATTATAGATTTACATAATTATACAATATATGATATATATCTAGAATAAAGAGAAAACCAGAAAATTCAATTTGTACCATGAGCTAGTTAATATTTAAGTGCTTTACCTATTTATAATAATATATACATATTAGTCATTACAAGATATTTTGTATGCATAAAAAAAGGTAGATAATAGCCAATAGGTGTGCAAATTATATATTTATGCGCACATATTCTTGGATAATGGTACAATTTGTAAGGTGCTATTAATTATATTTATTTATGTATTATTTAAATGGCATTGATAGCAAACTATAAAAATGTATATACATTTAGTAATGTACCTACTAATGTAAATGTATACAGAAAATAATACAACATTAAAATACAATATAAATAATTGTAAATAACACAGGACTTGACTTTAATTTTGCAGTGACTAATGAAAACCAACACAATAAAAGTGACAAAATGTGTTTTTGAATTTTAAAATTGAAAACTTCTACGATCGTCGATCATGTCGCTTTAAAATTCAAAAGTTTCTTTCCACATCACAAGAGTACAAGACACATTTGGTGCATATTTCAATATTTGAAACGGGAAATTATGATAAATTGATAACTCTAAAAATTGTGTTATTGTAATATCTATGCAACTATCTATAGAAATATGCAGTATCAATATGAATTTGTATTAAAATACTCAACAAAACGTCGGCCTCGGTCATATACCTATTACAAAGTATATTTTATGATATTATTTTAAGTAATTTATTTTACTGTTTATTAGTAACACAGAAATTTAATTTAATTTTTTCGAAAATATTGTATTTGAAAATATGTTTATAAAATATAATAATATAATTTAAAATTTAAAGTTTAAATTTTCAAATATATTTGAAGAGCCAAGAAAATCATTTTTAAATTACACAAAATACTTATATTATTATACTTCGTTTAAATATATAATTAAGTCCAAATTTGAACTTAAAATATCTATAAAAACCTGTGTCTTTATAATTTTTTTGGATTTTTTTATGTATTTCTAACAAAAA